ATTTGTTTGTAAAGAATCAAAGAGACTCCACTGAGGTTTTTTGACATGATGGGACTGAAAATATTTTTTTCCAGATAAATGTACCATTTGATGTAGGTTTAGACCATTAATCTTTGTGCAAAATTTCAGATCATTCGCGGACTTCGTTTTTCCAGAATTATTATTCAGATTGTAAAAATGACCCAAAATGAAAAGCGTTTAAACGCTTTTCACTCAAATTGGGCTAAGAAAAGCATAAAAGTACGATTTCAATTTATTTCAAAGTATATTTCTTAACTATCTTTGCATATATTTCTTTTTTAAAGTGCCCCAGCTTATTTATGTAAGAAATGCAAATGTTATGTTTTTAGGTTTTTAAACCTCAGTGGAGTCCCTCTATTATAAATGAATGCATAATTATTTTTGTTTTTATTTTTCATTATAAAAACATATTTTTCTACTATTCTATTATATGACACAAAGACAGAGAAAGGTTTGAGGGGGGTTGTGTTGTTCTTTATTTTAACTCTCAAAGACTGAAGAAGATTTTTAATGAATTTCAAATAAAAATGTCATGTTGCTGTTTTGGAGAACATATTTTCAATTGTATGTCAGATAGAAATATCACATACATAACATCGCATATATTATTTCTAAGTTTGGTAATTAACACCATACTTTATTGAAGTAATTCCATATTATAAATGTAACATTATTAATCAATAGTATAAAGGCTATTTTTCAAAGTTGATATTTAATTATGCTGAATCTTAATGTTTTCAATATAGCTTCATCTATTGATCAAAAATCTATATTAGAATTTACATAGGCAAATAATTTTAGCCAACTGTTTACATATTTTAGCTTATATTTACACCCCTACCACATGATGTTGTGGGGTGCTTACTGCTATACAGGCCCCACTGGGATTATATTGCCCAATATGTTTGGCTCTCTGAATCATATACCTCATGAAAGATAAGGTCATAATTGTCAAATTATTTTATCTGCTTTCTCTTTATATTGTCCCAATCTGAATGCCAGATTTAGCAGATGATAAGTGTTGTAAAGAACAACATAAGTTGCAACAGTAACAGCTGATCTTAATAAAGAAATAATTTTCCCACTTAACATTCATGTAACTTTCTATATTATCAGAGGATATTATACAGATTCACAATATTCTATAAAAGGAAGAAGAGCAAGAGTGTAAAAGTGATCAGCTGCGTGAAGAAGCTCCTGATCTGAGGATAGGCCAATATCCTTCACAGTTGTTCATCATAACACACAAAAAGTTTCAAGAGCCAGCCACACCACTGAGGTATAATATTATTTATGATTATATTATTTCAGAAATCTAGCAGTAAATAAAATCATTACTTCAGATTACTTTTCTGTAGCACTAACAAATAATGAATGAAATTTAGGTATGAGACACTGAAGTGTTGGTGAAAACCTCATCAGGGAAAAACTGTTGTTTCGTAAAGCGAGAAATTTTACATTCCTTGTCTGTGCTGGCTGGTTTCCAGTAAGGAAAATTTTGAGTTATTGCCCTTTGTTGATTTTTAGCTCGACTATTTGAAAAGAATAAGTAGAGCTATCATAGTTACCCTAGTGACGGCGTAACCACTTACGTTAAAGGTTTTGTACCACCTCAAATATTTCCGAAGTCCATAGACATATGTCTTTAAAACTTAACAACCTTGTTAAAAATTATGCCACAACCTGTAGACAGGAGGAGGTAACTCTATCAAGACTTTTGACAGGATTGTGCCCCTTTTCCGACATAGAATTTGCGTTAAGTTTACATAATACCTCACATATTTTCAAAGGTCATTGATATATGGCTTTGAAACTTTGCAGACTTGTTCACCATCATGCCATAAACCTCAACACGGTAGGAAATAATTCTATCAAGCATTTTGATAGAATAATTCCCCTTTTTCTACTTAAAATTTATGTTAAATGCTGTGTACCACCTCAAATATTTTCGTATTCCATAAACATCTGGCTTTGAAAAAGTTGAAACTTTATGCACTTCTTTGAGAGCATAATAGGACTCTCTCAAGGCATATAACAGTAACAGATTTGAGAAAAAAAATTGGGCCCTTTTGGGTACTTTTGGGCTCTTTTACTGTCAAGCTTTCCTGTTCTACTGACAGCTCTTGTTACACTTTGAATGGTATCAACTTATAAAGAACATGTCTAACTGAAATGGTTGTACAGCACAAAACAGTTTACGTTGGTACTGGCTGCATGCAGGAAACAGGTGTATAACCAAGATGTCACTTAAAAGTAAATTTACCTTAAAATAAGTAAAGTTGCATTACCAAAAAAGTGGATTAATTTTTTGGGAACCAAATTCACATTTTTGTTTCATATATTGTCCTTTTTTTCATGATTTAGGTATAAAAAACCAAGCTTACAGCTCTAAGCAAGAAAAAAGGACACAGGCCCTACAATATAGTGGGTATTTTAAAGTAAAATGCTTTAAATTGTTTCATGTCAGAAAGGTGTCAAGTAAGCGTGTATAGTCAGTGGTATTAATTTCACCTCAAGGTGCAAGCTCATGTCTGCAATAATGTATGAAGTGATACTCAATCAACTAGGAAAGGATGAATGTGGCAATGTGACCTAATAGAGCTGAATTGATCTAAATTCCACACCAATGAAACTGGACTGTATTTTCACATTATTGTACTAGTTTGAAAATAAAAAAGCAGTGTTTGATGTTAATGTGCATTATTAATATATATCACACACCCATGCAGCTTTTACGACTCCGTAAAAATGCTATTGCACGACCGTGCATATATTTTTGTTATATAAACCTAGAGTTAAGACGCTTTAATGTTAGCGGTATACTATGAGAACATTAATAGAAATGGGTCTTTTCACTTCCAACGGTCTTTAGTTTTGGTATGTGATAAATAGAATATTAGATTTGTGTAAGTTTAATACTGAAGTTATTCAAGTCGTTGAATAAAATAATATAACGCTTGACAGAGGCTCGCATAATATAATTTTATTCAACTTGTTCAATGAATTCAGTATTAAACTTACACTCATTCAATATCCTCAATAAAATAAAATTATGAGGAAACATCTATATTAGGACTTCACAGAGGTGCATTTTAAATTTGATGGAAAGGCTACTAACATGTGTTCTTTTTCTTCTCTTAAATATGCGATGAATTTTAAGTAATGAAAGGTCTAATTTTTTAGAAAAAAAATAACGAAAACATTTGTTCATAACCATTATTGATATTTGTACTTTGAAATGCATTACCCTTAATCCTTATCAAGTTTTAATTCTATGTAAATTATATGAATACTTAGGATGCAAGGCACATAAAGAGCTACAGTTGTTGTTTGGAAACAGGCGTCTAGTATCAGACATTCGGAAGCTGTCACCTGATTGAGCCAGACATCTTGGGCTGGAAGCCCTCACAAAATTATTTGTCATTGCCCCAAATTTTTAGTTTTCTGTTGCAGAATGAAAAAAAGGGTAATTATATTTTGGAAACAAGGAAGAAAGCTTTTAAAAAATAAACCTTTTGTTTTTTTCATTTTAATTTTATCATTTTAAATGAGTTAATGTTCAGTTGTCCCCTTCCTTTGCTCAAAATTTATTTTGGTTTAGTAGTTAGTCAAAGGGGGGTTTTTGATGTATTTTGGCACAAAATTTCACTTTTGAGGAAAAGGGGTTTGCGGAAAAAATTTAGTAACCAGCGGTCAAAAGTTCAGATAGATGTGGATCATTAAGTCATCATTTATTAAGGGATTGTAACACCAATTTTCTTTATCATGACTACCGCTGCGACACATGTAAGTAATGTTTATATCTTTATTCTTGTTATTTTATATTTGCAAGGTTAAGGTCACTAGAGATATTCTACATAATATCCAGCTTGCATGGACAAAATTTAATGTTACTTTATAGAATTGTTCACCGCCACGAGAGGTAATGCCCTTGCACATTAACCAGCTCTGCTGGTTAAAGGTCATACTTAGGCCTCTTTGAAAATTGTTTGTCTGGAGCAAAACTTCTAAATGCATTGAGAGATATTAATAACTTGGCACAATATTTCAAAGATGTAAAATTTCAAACATGTATAATGACCAACTTGCTGGCCTATCTTAATGCCCACTTTTCCACCTAATATTTTGTGATGGACATGTTTTGTGACAATGTCAAACTTGTTTTTACTTGGGTTTATGTGCTAAAAGCTTATAAGCAAAGATAAACAGTAGAAACTGTTAACTACTTTTATTTTGTTCCAATGTTTGAAGAACAAATAATTACAAAAAAAAAATAAAAATAATGTTTTTTGCCTATTCCAGGTTACATACAAAAGAAGCTGAACATGTTACTGTCCCACCTCCATTGTACAATGCAGCATGCCGAATTTCAAAAGCGGATGTCGTTCTAGCACATAAGTCCAGATTTCAGAAGTGAATGTACAAGAGCCAATTTCATAATTTCCTTGCATACTTGAATCCCGAGTACTGTTCAGATGGAAAAACAGATCGAATAGCGATGCCAGATCCATCGCGCAAGCCTGCGAACAAAAGTACTATAGTCCCGAAATGAAAATTTTTTAATCAGCAAGACATTTAAGAAAGGCATTTTTAGAATATTTAAATTTAAATTTTTGTGACTTTTTGCGTGATTTATTTAAATTTTTAAAAAAAATTTTTTAAAATTTTTAAACCCGGTTTAAAAAAGGGCTACCCTAAAAATTTTAGACAAGTTAAACTTTCCTTTTTTATCAGGATACTTTTTAGCTTCACTTTTTTAATAAAAAAAATGAAGAATTTTGTTTCAGCTGTTTTTTTATTTACATTGATTTTTCTACTTTTTACATTATAATTTTTAGCATTTTAACATTTTTTTGAAAAAGTTTTTATAGTTTTCTCTTTCCCCCGATTTTTTATAAGAATTGCATTAGTTTTTCGCAAACTTACATGATACAAAACACCTAAATGAAGAAAATATTTTAATAATTCACGTACTCATGGATTGGTTCTTCATCTCCAATAGGTCCATTCCTTTGAAGAAATTCATAAAAAGAAACTTCAGTGACGCCCCTGTTCAGGCATTTGGCTATAAATCCAGGATGCTGTGTGATGTATGAAAAAACATCCATTTTTTCCATTTAATTCGTTGAATTCATGGCAACACCTAGATTCCCTTCCAGTTGGCATCTCCCCACAATTAGAACAGTCGCACCTGTGAAAAATGATTATGTATTTTTTATGTAGTTCATTATTTCAATGAATTATTTTGAATATATAATTATTCTTAATGTCTATAGATATTCTAATAAATGCCATATTTAGCTCATAAAACACCTGAAATAGGACGGCTTTAGATGTCACGGGTGAGGCAAACTTTTGTTCCAGTCACAATTGATACAGGAAATTGATACTAATGGCCATCAATTATTATAATAGTTAGTCACCTGCAGAAAAATTGGTAAAAACAATCACTGGTTAGTATTCAATGAGAGCCGGTTACATGTAAGATATGGCCTGACCGCTAAGATATAAACCAATTATTTAAAAATCTGTGCAATAACAAACAGTCATTACATTTATATACATAAATTTGATATACTGTTCCAATCATAAGATAAATTGGCATACAATTGGAAATCCATATTACCTCAAAAGTGTGCTGTTAATTACAATAAAATCTTTTTATTTTATATTTTATAACAGATGAAGGTTTTACTAATTCAGATTTAAACAAATTTATTTATTTTAATGTCTCCGATGTAGTAAAAAAATAGTTGTTAATCTCCGTCAACCAACCTTCCCATGAAATCAATCTCTGTCAACCAACTTATCGTCACGGATCTTTTTGGCTTTAAAATTAATCAACTAGGCCTGTACATTTGAATTTTTTGGTATACGATAAATTGTTGTGCATACACGATAGTCAACTGTTGAAAAACATATCTGCTTAAATTCAATTACCAATGTAAGTTTCCCAAACGGACGTTATTACGGTCATCGAAATTAACGTCGTCAGGTTCAGAATCGTCCTCCGAAACGTCCTCGCTCTAGGAACTATAGGGTGATTCTGTTCGTGGCTCGCTTCAAACATATATGGTTGAACTACAAATCCATCCTCATCAATGTGATCTTCATTAAAATCTTCCATAATATGATAATATCAACTTTAGCGCAAATCAGATTACCTATTATAATGAACTGTCAATATTTTCCACAAGGATAAATATACTTCACTTCCGGTTTTGAGGTCGCACCTGCATAACGGAGAGTAACTTTCGCAGCGGTGCAATATCGGACTTTGTAAGAGTTATGCAAAGGCAATCGCCGATAATTTTATTCGTGAATTAGGAAAATAAAATTATTAAAGTTTATTCTACGTGTATACACATCAATATTTGCACATGAATATGTAGGCGGTTCTCCTTTAAACATGTTTACACAAATGATATCTTGAATCATTAGATAACAATTTGTTTATAAGGCCCAAAATGTCCAAAAAAGCAATCTTCCCAATAAGTGTACAACATACGGATACAACAGTTTTGTCTTACAAAATAGCTAAGTGTGATCAATAGACGGATTAAAGATGAAGTACATGTTTGCCAATTTAACGTATAATCAACAAAATCATCAGGCTAAGCATTAATGCTGGGGCATCTCAATATACACAAAGGATTTCTAGCTCATCAACAGTCATCAATTTAACACACTTTTAGTTACTGTCGCATCACTTTAACATATTTTAGCATGGCACTTTAGCATCATATGTTCATGAAACCGTCTGTCAGTCAGACCGCATCTATCAGGACGGAAAACTACCCACAACAATAAACAAACGCTCTACAGAGGCCGATGATGCAGGAATGGTCCACAGCACAGTCTTCTTTGTGTAGGTTTCATAATGAACTCTCTGCAACAGAAATTTTGAAAAGTGTCAAATGTACAGTATGCTGTATACAGGTGTTAAAACAGGTGTGAAAACAATAAATGTTTGTATGGGAATTCAAAGAGACAATAGGCTTGACAAAGAAATTGTACAAACACTTCAATGGTACAACAGTATCCATTATACTAAAGACACATTGTCTATCATCTTACAAAATAACTGTTGCATATAATTAAAATATGGTAATATGCATCTGAAATAAACTCTAGAATATACAAAGTAAAGAAGTTTTCTTAATTGTTTGAAACATGGGTAAACCAAATATGTGAAACAAAATTTAACATACCTTTATATGGGTAATGAAATCTGAATGTGACTTAGTGTTTCCATTTATCTTCCTAGGGCACACTTTACACTGTGCTGTCACATTTCCAGGTGTCTCTTTAGGAAAGACATCATAATTCCAATGATTTAACATTTTGGTTAGAATACCAGCCAAACAATGATGTCTATCTTTCAGTTAGAATTTGGTTAACTGTATGTATTAAAACTTATTTCTTCATTGTGAGTGATGTCTTTAAACTACCTTTATGCTCAATCATTGTTTATTATGACAATATCTATTATTTACTTCAAATAGAGAATTCAATTGAGAAGAGTCTAACTATTCAATAAAAATTTTGCTTTTGTTTATCAAAATCAATTGATTTACACTATAGAGATCATTATAAGTTAAACTGTAACATGTGAAATAAATCATTTGAATTTCAATAGTTTCATGTAAAATCTGAAAGTAATCGACATCAATCAAATTGTAATCATAATTACAGACTGAATTTAAGCTGTAATTGATTAATTACAATTAATGTAATCAAATTTGAGCAAGGTTATCAATTACATGATGAATACAGTGTAATCATGTAATCAATTAAAAAATCAATGATTACGATTAGTGACTACCCAAGGTCTGTATGGGTCAGAGTTAATGAAGCCTGCATATCACAGATTAGACGTCAAAAGACAAATTAAAAGGCAGGCAACATATCCTAAGGATGATTCAACAATATTCAATTAGGAAAGACTAATGCTCAAGGGACTCTTAAGGCGTGAAGGGACTGGAAGTATATTTCCGAGATGTGTGTACCATTTGTACAATTCATACACAGCATATGCATAAATATTATAAATTTTGCCTATATATATTAAATACATGTATAATTTTATTACAAATTGTCAATAATTCTATAGGATGTTTACTGTTTGATCTCCAAGTTCAAATGATGTCCACAAGTGAAATAATAGCAACAGACACAGATCGTCAAATCGTGACAATGACACATATTTGTTGGCAGTTTTCTTAAATAAAATTCTTTAATCATTTGGATCAACACTAACAGGATTATGCGAATAATTATAAAAAGACGTCAGATTGATAAAACTTTTTTAGTTGAGGAATATAAGACAGAATATTAATAAGAAGGTTCATCGGAAACGGTTTATTATCTCTAATGAAAAGAGAAAAAGAGAATGCTTTGCTCAAAATCTTTGCATAAAACCGAACTAATGATAAAAAACATAAAATACTTTTATAACCATTCTGCTTGTCTATACAGATAACTGACATGTTTTTCGCTAAATCATTATGGTATATAGCCAAAGATATAAAATATAGTTTTATTCAATAACGTTAAAACGTAATAATTATAAGCAATTGAATTGACTTCAAATGCTCAAATACTCCATAAATCAAACTCTTTAAAACGGTCAATCTTTATGTTAATTCCTTTGATGAAGTTATTGTGTACGATAACTACTTTAGCACGATCCTTTTCACTAAATTGTTTTTTAAAGTACATATCTCCTGAAGGAAAGAGTGATTCATTCAATATTGCAATTTTAAGATTTTTCGACATTTGAATTAAATTATTAAAAACTATTTGATTTACCGAAGCCCGTTCCATTAACCTTTTTTCCCATTTTCGTATCAAATTTTCTGTTTCTGTATTACTTCGTATAGCAAAAAATCCAGCACAATATAGCTTTCTATCTAATGGCATCCACAAGTCAAAGTTGCCTTTAAAATATGGTATTGGATCGTGTAGCCAAACTGTATCTACATCAGAAAAAAGTAAGTAGCGTGTGTATGGTAAGTACATCAAAAGATGTGTTGCGCGGACAGACATAAGCTTTCTAAATAACGGTGTATTGTATGAAGAAGCATTAGAAATATTTATATAGTCACTTCTGTGTACCTGTATTGATGCATAATGATCCGATTTAAGCTTTTTAAAAACTATATCATCCTCTGCAATAACAATGACTTGATATTTTATAAAAAGTTTTAAAAAGTAAATATACCAATTTTGAAATAATTCGAAGGCGCAGTTATTTAATTCAAGAAGAATTGTCCAATTTTTAGTTTCATCAGTGTGCCATATCAGTTCTCTATCTTGATAATGAATTGGTGTTTTTGTTACAGTCTTATAAATGGCTATGCTGTCAAGTCTTCTCTTCGAATCATTAACATGTGAAGATTGCAATTTCGAATGCCTTTTGCTAGCTTTGTCAACAATAAAAAAGGGGCAAATCAATAGCAGAACAAAGGTTGTGAAAGGCAGTATGCTCCGCTGAGAAAACATTTTACATACAAATGTACTAAACGTAAATATAAGCTAATATATACAGAATTTTTTCTAAAACTCTATCACATAGATAACTCCATTTTTATTTTTATAATGGTTATTTAATAATTTCTACTGCACTTAATTTCCAAAATATCGGTTTCCCGTTTATGTCTGTAAAAGGTACAAGAAATCAAGAGCAATTTGTAACTTCATAAACATTTAAATATAAATGTTCAACAATTCCAGAGTAACAATAATTATAAATATGTAAATGTAAAGCATTCGTTATGTCAATGGTCACAGCATAAAATAAAACAGAATTTATTTTACATTTGAAAACATATCTTTTTCCTGATATATATGTGTCGTGTCCATTTTAAACGTTAACTATATAGATTAAAAGACCTAAGTGTGTTTTCATGGTATATTTTGCTCCTAAATAGGATTTGTTAATAACGTTGATTATCAGACTAACCTTATCCTTGCCCTAACACGTAAAATAAAAGATGTTAATCTGATAAACTAAAAATAGTTTTTTTATCGAATAATTAAAACTCAATATGGTAATATAAAGTAAATAGCAGAAATATTTCAGTATACCGTCAAGCGCAAACGAAATAATCTTGGGTTGAAATATGCCACCATGGCATTTATAATTAAATTTGTTACTATGGCAAGTATAGCATTTAGAAATTATTATGCTTATATTAAGTAAGATATATACAAAAGTCAGATAATTCACTTTCAAATTGATGTATTACAAATAGATAAATATGTTAAGTTTTATTAAAGATAGCCTGTGTGATATTATTATCATAATTGCTATTAATAACTACATTCTTTTAGCATTTAAGCAATTCTTGATTATCTGGGTTTAGCAGTCGTTTTGAACTTTTTTCAATTAAAATTATATTTTATTATATATTTAAAAATAACATTGAAACAGTTCAATTTTGATAACTGTCTGTATAAATTGTACAAAGCAAGGGAATAACGTAGCGTAAAATAAATATTTAAAAAAAATTCGTTTTATTTTCATTGTAAATAAATGATACTACTACCAAACAAGGGTGAAACATTGGCTTGAATAATAAATACATACATGGATTAGCTTATATTTTAATGTACTTTTATTAATCTAGGGTGATTAATGGTCATTTCTTATTCATTATCTTATTATTGTATGCATGAATGATAAGATGAATGAGTTTTAAAGAACATGGTAAAAATGAGTTCGCGCGCCTGCTTTTATGGGTGAATGTAAATTAGTGTAAGTGAATGAGTGAGTCAGTGAGTCAGTGAGTGAGTTTGTGAGTCAGTGAGTGAGCGGATGACTCGTGAGGACAAATATTTAACAATTACTTCAATTATATAAAAATACGATCGCCTTATCAAGCAAGATATTTTTTTAGAAAGAAACAAATAAGTCTATGTGAAAATTTGCGACTTGATTTTAAGGAAAATATAATAATGGAAATTATAAGGTTTACGTGACAGGGTAATTTGCGCTTTCAAAATCCAATTTTAACTTTGAACTGTTATTCCATGTAAGAAGTTAATGTTTGAAAATTTCTGAAATTTAACCTCCACAAATAGTTTACCAGAGAATAAGTATAATAATAAAAGTACAAGTGTGTAAATGCGATTTAATTTCAGGATCCTGCCAATGTGAAATGGACTGACATGTAAATGAACAGCAAGCAAACGACGGCTTAAGTAAAAAGCTGAAAAAAACTTATCATATTTTATAGATGCATGAGACCTTGACATATGGGCTTTTACGATTTATCTTGATACGCATACGCACGTCCAATGTCAAAGTTGTGAAGCTAGGAAGCAAAGCATATTGAAAGAAAACGTTAACCGACTCTGAAGAAGAGCTATAATTAAATAAAATTACGTTCAATGTTTTAAAAATGCATTCTAACAAGCACATAAAAAGGTTCGTGTAGCATCCGAGTATGCAAAAAGACAATCTTCTTTCACATTTATATTTAGCAAAGAAGCACTTATTTGACTGGACTATTATTACCTATTTACTGTCGTTACATTTAAATTTTTTCTCACATACTAATCTTATATATTATATGTGGTTGAGCTTATTACTGTATATTAATCATTGACACAATATTTAAATCTTGTCGTTTTTACACTGTACATGAATCATTTTTAAAGACTTTTAGCAGTGATCGTGAATTTGTATTTTCTTGCCGTTACATTTCGTTTGTTACAATTTATATATTAGGTAATGCGCTTGAAAACTTTTTGTTTCTTTTTTATGCATAATGGACCGAAGACTACATTGATGACATTGATGATTATAATGATGATAAAATTGATGATAAATGTTACCTTCATTTGTATTCTTGTTCTTATATTTGTTTTATTTCATTTAAACTCTTATAACAAATAAAAAGTCCAGGGTTATTGATAGGTTTAGGATTACGGTTAAGGTTACGACTAGGGTAGGGGACTTTGGCGAAGTTGTTTAAGCCAAAGTGTCAGAATCTTATACGTCATAATCAAGGCTGGTCTCTGATTAGTTGGAAATAGCATGTGCTATTATTGTTCACTTGTCAAAATGTTTCTTTTGTAAGATTGCAGTTTTTTAATTGTTTCCTGATTGTCTAAATGAATATAGTTTTCATTTTGAGACCTTTTATTTCAATTGGTTATTCAAAGCTTGATTAAGTCACGTGTTTTTTCCAAAATATAGGCCCGCACATTCTACTAGATATTTGATAGAATCGCCATTTGACCTGTGCTACTGTTTAGTGCTAGATGCATAATCATTACACACGTGACTTCCCATTGCTCCAAGTACGCATGTGCCATGTTATTAATTCTATTGTTTGGAAACCATGTGAATATTTTAGATTTAACTCCCAGCCTGCGCAATTACTTACACTTTGACCTTAATCATAACACTTACTCACTTTACCCACTTAATACACTTTACCCTAACCTTTACACTAGTTTAGCCCGGGTAAAATAGAAATTAGGATAAGATGAGTAAGTTATTTAAGATTGGTAAGCTGGTTCTTAAAGATAAATTGGGTTTAGTGGGTAAGGTAGGTAAGGTGGATAAGGTAGGTAGGTAGGTAAGGCGCTCTATGCTAGCAAGAATATGTTAGGTAGGAGTAACCTTATCAGTAAGGTTGGTAAACATCAGTGTTAACTTCTGAAGAGTAGGTGTTGTTTTCTGAATAAGCTAGAGTATGCTTTTAAGACGGTTAAGCATAAAAAGTGAGAAGTGAGGGGTTGGTTTAACCCATGGGTTTTTATTTATTTTTCTCCAAGACAGAGCAAAAACAGTGTTTTAGTAACAATGCTTGTTATAATGAAAACAACCATATATATTGTGTTTATTATTTTGAGTCGAAATAATGCGAATAAGAAAAATAGTATATATGACGATAACTATCTTCATTATCATCATTTTATCATCATCATTATTATAACCATAATCATCTTAGCAATCATCAGTAAGCTATTCATAAAAATGGAAGTTTCAATATCCTTATGTTGACTATTTTATAACAAGCATTAACATGCATTACATGATGATGATCGTCATCATCTACTTTAATATTCAAGCTATTTACATCCAAACAGACTTAAAATATGGCCGATTACACTACACAGAAAAGCTTTTTTTATTATGAAAATAATTGGTCTTAAAATATCATGTGATTGAATTAGGTTATCAGAAAGCAAGACCAAGGACCATTTGAGCGGACCATTTACGCCAATTTTCAAAATAATTTGTCTCATTGCGTCTCAATTTTCTCATCTCGTGTTTTGCTTACCTAACCAAAGTGCTAACTCCTGGCACTGTTTATTTGTTTTCAATTTTTTACCTCATATAGACGTGTTTTAAGACTTTTCAACCCCGCCCTTTTGAACATAGTGACAAATGCCCTATTTTGGCCTAAACACTTGCTTTTGTTTCTTAGCAATGTTGTTTAAAAAGAGTACACTTTTTGGCGCCGCAACCTATCAAATCGCCAAGAAAATTTTTGACTTGTGAGATGCTGAATATGGCTTAAGGTTGATTTTAACGTAACGTGTAACCAACGATGAAAAGCCTGAACAACTTTTGGTTCTATCGCATTACATTGAGAAGCTGTAGCACTTTGAAATCAGTTTTGGTGGACAAAATCAACGCAAAATAGTGATTTTTGACAATTTTTGAGATGTCCCTCGTTGTCTTGGTTACAGGAAATCTAAGAATGAATATAATGCTACAAAGGCTATTTTCATTTAAAATCTTTGCCTAGCATCTTTTATAGTTTCATAGCAATTCAAACTTATAACAGAAAGCTTCTAAATTAAACAATTAAGCCATTTTTCACAATATCTTTATGTAGTATAAGGTTTAACGTTAGGATTGAATTATCCATGTCTATCAGTCATTACAAATTTGACATAATGTTTATTTTTTTCGATAAAGTATTCTAATATTCAAACATGTATGCAAATTTCAAATATATAAACATTTTAAAAAATAACATAAACCTATTGAGAATCATTGAAGTTTAACTGCAATAAAACACAGAATGATGTTTCAAGTCATGATGATACAAGTCATTTCTGTCACTAAATAACGTTACAATTCTAATTTGTTCGCTTTTCTGTTATGTACTAGACACCCCACAAAGGCCGCATCTTTTTATAAATATGTGTAACGGCCCTTTTTCAGCTGTCGAACATCTTCTTCGAATATAATTCTACAGTCTCTTTTAGACACTGTAAAGCTATCATCCCAGTCCGAAGCCTTTACTGTAAAATACTTACCATTGTTTCCATGTTTGTTGCAAAAAGTTTGTGTTTGATTTAGAATATGCTTAAACCTCGCAACTTCTTGCACGAGGTCTTCTCCTGCATTTTGAATCTTCCTTTTCAGGTCTTCGTAAAAAAACTTATAAATAGCGTACTCAATGTTATTAGTTAACTTCAAATGTCTTATTTGACTTGCATTCAAATGTACGTTATCATGATGACGTGTCTTTTTAGCAGCGTAAATAATGTCAAAAACTGACCAACGAAAATATCGTTTAAGAATAATCAGTGATTCGTCAAGCATCTCTAAAATAAGAACAAGTTTAAATTCAGCGTTAAGTTTTAAAAGCTTATCTTGTAAAGCTTTTTCGGATATCGTTGTATCTTGTAAACCAAAAAACCTCCCCATGACATTGTTGACCCTATATCGTTTAGTATTTTCCACTATTTTATTAATGAAATCTTGGTCGTTTAGCCCACGTAAACTGTTATACTTCATAGAAAGTTTAGAAAAGAAAGCATGACTTATCAGCCTTGTTTCTGGTCTCCTAATGATTCCAATTATGTTAGGATTATAGACAATATGAGTGAAGAAATTGTAATTATAAAATGTATGTATCATATATACATCGTAGTGTCTTTTCTCTCTTAAAAGCAATTTTTGTTCCTTCTCAGATATAAATGTTTGTTTTGGCAAGAACATAGATAAGTTATTATAAATTCCAAATCTGATTAAAATACAGGCAACTGTGCTTGATCCGCTCTTTTGAACTTTCAAGAATGAAATTCTTTTTACCTTTTGTCGTTCATCTGTATGTTTACGGCTTATATCCAAATAGCTATGTCCTGTATCGGAGAAGTAATTTTTCTTTTCCCTTATGTTATTTCGAAATTCAGCTGATTCTTTTGTTGTTAAAACAATGTATGGCATCAATAATATGCACAAAATGAACACTTGAAGTAAACTGATCAAAAATATTTCTCTAAATGTTAAACTGAAAAGAAATACCAAAGTTTTGATTAATTGAATTTACCATAATTGAGGTTATTACAAAGGATGCAATTATTGCAATTTTCACATATGCTCAAATTCCATTTCTAGAAGAACCTTTTTTCATAATAACTCATCTTATACATTTAATAACAAGCATCAATTATCGGTAATGAGAACAATGTGAGATCAGTTCAACATGTTTTACTTGGTAAGTTATAAACATAAGTTATTATAATTAACAAAGTATAAAGTAATTAATTGGATATAAAGTCATAGAAACAAGTTGACGAGTCAAAATCACGATTGTATGTTGTATGTGAATATCTAAAAACAAGCAAATCTAATTTATAATACTTAAAATAAAACAAAATCAAGGGCAGATAAGAAGGGTCTATATAGGAATGTCTGAAGAATGTTCTAGTGATGATACCTAAGACTGGAGGTTATATGGAATAGGAAATCAAATTGATAAATCAAAGACCTAACATCTAGATGATGATATAAAATCAGTTTTTGATCCTAATGTGTCTGGCAAAAAATAAAATAACTAAGAATAGGACAGAAGAAATGAGCCAATTTTAGGGGTAATAATTATTATCTGTTAACCTTAACAAGTAGCCAAATTTCAATTTTGAACTATTCATTGCAATCATTAATAAAAAACTTGCCGGCGACTACTGAATCTACTCATGCAACAAGTGCAGACCAAGATCAGATGCCATAGAATATTGTCGTTATTGGTTGTTCTTAATTCAGACAAATGGAAACTAATTTTATACCATTTAGTAAATCAAAATGTGGTTAGTAGTCTCTACTATTTAGAAATGTTAATAAACAATTTAAATTATATTGTATTTGCGTGACGGCATAAAATTCAAACCTGATTTTTGCATGTTCAAAAGCTAATATATTTGACTTTGTAACCTCGAGATGTACCTTTAATCTTATTTTCCTCGATCTCTCTTGTCATCACTCATGTACCTTCTATACTATTTAATGTATACATTATGTAAAGATTATTAAAAGGGATATTTTCTGTTTCAATGATTTAAATTGTGGAAAAAGCTCAATTGTAGTAATAAACAAGCTTGAAAACAATAGATTTGGATGTTTGATAATAATTATTACACGTGGGTTTGAAAAAATGATTTTGTATCTTTAGTAATGTATAGAAAATACATACTTTTGCAATGTTTCATACTGTTTGCCATTTTGATTTACATAATAAATGATTGCTTTAATGAACCATTTGTTTTTTTCAATAATGAGTAGCTCTACAAGCAGTTTGACTTGACCAAAAATCTTTGAAAAAAATAGTTACAACATATAGTTAAGAAAGGTACTTGAGTTTATTATATATTTTGGAACTTTTCTTTTTTTACCTCACATATATTTTATCCTTTTAAATTGCTTAAATTTTAAAAATTGCTTACTTTGAAGAGTCACACATCATGTAGGTCTAAAGATATTTAATCATCCACAAAGTTTGTAACCTGTTAATATATCTTTATGGTTATGGTTAGAATTATATGAAAATAACATGTGATACTTTTATATTGTTGTCGCTAAGTTCTATTTGAAATGTTACAATTTTATGTATTATGTTTTATTGGCTAATTGAAGCACGTGTTCATTTTAAGATATTTTATTTAGATTGGTTATTTAATAGTGTAAGGATAGAGGCATGGCTATGGTTAGGGTGATGGTATAGACTTCTTGCTTCTTGTGTAACGTGATTATTTTGGTTGGTTGTTATTATCATGTGACATTTAGTGTGTACCTTAATCAGCCAATTTGAAGGTATTTTATATGTGAAAAGTTAGAAGCACATTTTTAGTTTATTTCTGATTTTCGTTATGAAAACTATAAAAAGGAGTATTTGAAAAGAATGCTTTGAAATTTAATGTATAAAGGGAAGGATTTTAACTTTTGTTTATATGATTTTTGATATGTTTTAATCAGTAAATTATGATTTACATTATAAATAATGATAAGTTATTTCATTCATTTATCATACTATGATAATGATGATAATAATCTTGATGATTATATTTATATCTATGATGATGATTGCGATAATGATGATGATTATTTAATACAGGTTTGTGCTTATTTTAAAATAGTCTTAAAGATAAGGATAGTTGATGATGACAATGATGATTAGAATAATGATATAAATGATGATAATAATGAAAGATAATTCTATAAATATCCATGTTCTTATTTGCTTTATTTCCACTCAAATTCTTCAAATATACAATTAAAAGTGCACTTGTTATAATAATCACAAGCATTGTTTCTAACACTAGGCTACCCTGATGATTACTCGCCTTATGTTTAACCGAAAGACTAGGGTACTATCCAAAAATAGGGTTAAGGCGAACTTACCTAACCTAACCCTTATTCAAGCTTACTCCTCACCCCTTAACCATGCAAAACTTCTAACCCATAAGATAAATCTAGCTTACTCTTGCTTAATAGCGCCGTCAAAAAACATTACCTACCTAACCCACCTTATCCTTTTGATCACCAACTTTACCATTTTAAATACCCAACTTAACATTTTGATCTCCCACCTTACCCATTGATTACCCACTTTACCCTTTCGATTACCCACCTTACCCTTTTGATGACCAAACTTACATTTTGTTTTTCCACTTTACCCTAATGCTTACCAACCTAATGTCTGAACCGAACCTTATTCTTGTTTATTTTTTTTATCATATTACCTCCTCTATCCACAAATCCTACCTTACCCAACTTACCCATTTTGACGACCTTACCCTAGTTAATTTTGATCATTTCCTACTTTGCCCATAAGCTTATCCTACGTGACTGTAGGTTGCTATCATAGAACCTTTTTCACCTTACCCGAGCTTACACTGCTGCTTACCTATCTTACATCCAAGCCTTCCGATCTTCACCAAACCATTGTTGGTGCCGCTTCCCTTAGGAACTGCAAAATTGATTAAGAATTAAGGTTTGTTGATGACTTCATCACTTCGAAGGTTACAAAAAAAGTTTATATGAACCGGTAATATTGAAGCTGTGTGAAAAGCGTTTCCGTTCGAAGAGTTATTATTGGATCGTCATGGTTGTCTGTGAAGTAGGAAATTTTCAGTTAATCTTGGTATAAACATATGGATCCTGTATAATCCTATTTAGTTCCAAGTTGCAGCCGTACATTGGTGATTTTTTATCTTTTGACCGATCTAGTTCCTATATGCTATGACATAAATAAATACCTACAGCTGATATTTGGACCTTAACCAAACCAGGTGGACGTAAGATATATAGAAGTTTGGGGATACACGAAGTTTTGGCAAGCGGTATATGTGTTATATGTTTTATGTGTTATGTGTATATAACGGTACATGTGTTGTCGGCCGTCGTTTGATACATGTGCTGATGATGGACTTTTATGATTCATATGAAACGTCTAAATTTTTAAGGCATACTTATTTAGTAACGTGACTATTGATTTGAAAGTGAATTGTTCTATTTCATCTGAACGGTTAGTGTTTCTGCTGTCCATACAGAGGCAACTTATGCAAGTATGGCCTTTGGAAGTTTCTGCAATCTTATAGAGGTATCCGAACATGAACTTTTGACTGTGCTAAAAGAAAGCTTTCAAGAGGTGAGGTTAAAGTATTAAAAAATTATGATAAAATTGGGAATGCACATTTGAGTTGGAATGTCTTTCGAGAGTTTGGCAATTGTTACAGTATGAAGATGATAGTGCTTTTGTTAGAAGAAATCCGCGAGTAATTTCCAGTCTGATCTTAGGAGAACAGTCCAGCCGAAACTTAGTTTATCCAAGCCGATTGAGAGATCGTATCAGATTTCCATGGATATCAGTTTGCAACAGAAAATTATCTTATGAAAATCTTGACTAGACCCATTTTATTAAGTCTTGTTCAAAGCCGGTCATTAAAAGTGTGTCAAAGAATGTTTCAGACGAACGCTAAATAGGCATAATAAATAAGAGTAACAGCTTGCAACTTGACATTAACCCGGTTTAAATGAGGGAGAGGAAGAAAGAAATATTATTGCTATGAGGACTCCTACATGTTTACCATTTGTTGTAGGGAAAAAACGCCGCTGGGATACTGCAAAACTAGAAAAATTACATACATCATTTTCAGACCGCAATGAAAGCGTTAAAATGAACTTTGATGACACTAAAATGATCTTCCCCCTTCACCCCTAGTTTTTATTTCTTTTATTAACCCCCCCCCCCTTTCCCCGGTCTCATGTCCCCTTCCCTGTGCCCTTTGACTTTGTGGGCCTGTTGTTCAATCATTTATTTGTTTTCTTTTAATTCCTAATCAGTAACAAATTATTTATCATTTAGTGATTAAACTGTCCATGCTGACTTGTGCCCTGTCCTGTTTTTGTTTGGGGTCCGCCTGGGCTCCTTGCCACTTGTTCTTGTGGCTGGGTCATATGGGGGTTGCGTTCATTGAACGCCGCCTTTCCTTGTTGATTTTGTTTACCATATTTGATAAATGAAGGAAAGAATGGGTCTCAATTAATATTGCCGCACGTTTATTATAGGTTTCAAGCGAAAGGAGGCAAGGAAAGAATTATAAACAAATAAAACAAAATATGTGTAAACATATGTTGACCAAGTACGTATTACTATGACTATGTTATTGTTGAATAATTTTTGTAGGATTGTTGTTGTTTTTGTTGTTGTTCCTTTCTAAGATGCATGGTGTTCACTGAATGGTATATTGTAGTCACGGGAAAATGAAAGAAAAAAATTCTCTAAGCTTTCATACATATGTTTTACTTTTATATTTTTATATATTATACTTCTGTTAAGATAATGCGTACATGCGTATAAACAAACAATCTATATAATTATTTATTTATGTCTGATCACTTGCCTTTAACAAAAGCAAAAAGGCACATTTCAGTCAAGTGTTGCAATTGATGTTCACTTCCGCTGGACAATGTACCCCTGACACAGGCGGAGAAAAAATTTAATTTGAAATGATTTTCACAATTTATCAATAAAACAGTTATTCCTAATGAATCACAAGTTGAAATTTATAGCACATGTATGCTATGTATTTACAAACCACATCCCTTTTTCTGTATATTTACGGTTACCACAGTAATGGTTATTAAGTCTGATTTGAAATAATTATTACAAGTGATTAAAACAAAGAGTGAATCACGAGAAATTACACAAGATGAAATTTATATCACATGTGTGCCTTCTATTTACATGGCACAGTCTTTTTTCTGCATACAGCTATCACAATTATGCCTATAAAGTCTGATTTGAAATGCTTATTACAAGTTATTCATAGCAAAAGTCAAATTGATTCCCTTTATGAAAATACCTGTTTGGTTATAATGGTTATAAACTTAACAAATGCCCTTTGTTTACAAGTGAGCTTGTCTTTCTAAAATTGCATTACAATTCTTATTTTCTCTTTTGTAATGTGATAAGCGCCTCGCAGAAGTCGCATATTTTCCCAAGTATGTGTAAAGGCCCTCTATCAGCTGTTCAAAAACGTCTACGATTATTATTCTACAGTCTCTTTTACACACTGTTATTCTATAATACCATTCCGATGCCTCCATTGTAAAATACTAACCCCGGTTACCATGTTTGTTGCAAAAAGTTCGCGTTTGACTTTAAATAAATATATAGAAACTGAAATTGATATACCCGTACTTGATTAATATAGTGATATTTTTGAATGCCTGATAGACGAAAATCAATGTTCTTGTGACAAATTTATAAATTATCAAGGAAGACAATTGATCGCTTTCTGCAAGACGTATGCTTTTTATATCATCAACGGAAGAATCGGTGATGACAAGAATATTGGCAATTATACATTTATTTCATCACAAGGGCGCAGTGTTATAGAGTATGTGTTATTTTCAAAAGGCGCTATGAAACTTGCACAAAATTTTCGTGTTGAGGAGAGAACTGAGTCTTCCCATTTTCCCTTACTAACAGAAATCGATGTTCCTTGTGTCAAGATTGAAACCTCTACAAAATCCCAATGTACTGAAATCAAATATAATTTGAACTATACTTATAAATTGTCGTTCCAGCAAGACATGGAAAAGTATTTCAGTAATGAAACACTACATAAATTAATATGCGATATAAATAAAATAAATAATAATATTGATGATTGTGTGATGAAATTTACAAACATGTTAAAACAAGTGGGCAATAATTTTGTGTTACCAGTAAAGAAAGTAGAAAAATGCTTTAGTCCAAGGTGGTATGATAAAGATTGTTGAAAGTTAAAACGCATAAAATACAAACAGTTAAGAGCATATAGAAGTCATAAAACATAAGAAAATTTACAGCTTTATATACAGGCAAGAAAACAATATAAGAATATGTGCGATAGTAAAAGCAAACAGTTTCATACGAATGAGTTGAAAGATTTAACCAATAGTGTAAATGACTCTAAATCGTTTTGGTCGAAGCTAAAAAAATTAACAACTCGTAATAGTAAGGCAGTAAATAATATAAGTACACTTGAATGGGTACAATATTTTGAAGGTCTACTTAATCCAAACATTG